CCAAAGACATTCAATGAGGTGGCGCAGTGCCTGAAGCCGGGCGGCATTGTGATCTGGATCGAAGGGGACTACGACTTCTATTCTGGTTACCCGATCGTATACAAACCGTTTGCAAGTGAAGCAAACCCATCCGGATCTTACCTACAACGAATGGGCTATGGTAGGTATCATTGTTGTTCATTAGAACATGTTGATTCATCTTGTCCTCAGAGTTGCGTAGAGCGGTGACTGCGAATGGCAGCGCCCTAAAAGAGGTAGAACACCTTATGGATCAAGGCTTATGGTGGCAGTCTGATGTAATAGATCCCGATACGTAAGGCTATTCTCTTGTTCACTAAACTGCGCCAACTGAAGGTTCGGAAGGTGTAAAACCGCCAGTCTCCTTCTACCGATCGGTGAGTCCAATCTAACGCTAGTCCCTTAGATTTAACTGAACCATGAAGCCAGGTACTTGGCTCGATGGTTTGTTCCGGTACAGTTTCTAATATAGTTACTCACCTCCCTTCCACTAGGCAATGACGAGACAGAAACACAACAATTACGATGGATTGGAACGCTAATGCGCCAAGATATGATGGTAAGAAATCCTTTCGTAGTCAATAAACCCTTACTAATCTATAGCAGAGTGGTCTTCGTGGTGCACATCCTGTACTCTTGCGAGCGGGTTGGCCCCAGGACACGTTAGATCACTGGACAGAAAGATTAGATGAAGGCAAGTATATTCAATGATCCTTCCCGCTTCCGAGTGCTGATTGGGTGTATTCAGAATGTACCAAAGGCACATACGGACTACGGTTTAGATTCGCTTGGGGCAGACGGCGAGAGTCTCCAGGTTCTCCAGCACCTGCTCTCCCTACACTCCAGTCAATAAACCCTCCCAATAAACCCTCGTTGTTCATCTATGAAGTCCACAACACCATCGAAGAAGTCCAAGAGAAAATGGCCTTACGGAACCGAGGCAAGGATATCCCTCCACCTCCTCTACCAGTACCAGCGAATACTTGATAACAACGGAAACACTCCTTCGTTACTTGATTCCCATTTCTATGTTCTTATATACATTTCGGTTAGTCGCGTTAATAGAGTGACAAGTTGTGATCAAGTTGCATGGACGGATAGTATCAGATAAGAACCTTTGAAACCACATGTTCCACTGATCAAGTCCTAGTAGTGTCCCACAAGGACCGTGTCTGTCGAAAGTTCTCCAGGAATGGCAACCTCTCGACCCTGAATTGAGCTTATTCTCCACAAAGACCGCTCGCACCACGGTAAGACGACTAAAAATATTTATAAAATGTTTGCGCGGAACATCCGTCACGTATTCGTCCAAACTCGTGTAGTTCATTCACAGAGACGTCTCGCCACCCTTGCAGAGGTACGCACCTCTTCCCACCAGAGATAACGATCTTTCTTGTTCATTACACAACAGGAAGTGCTCCTGAATGAGGTTGTCGAAGAACTGTTCCTCCAATTCGAGACCGATAGCGAT